CAATCTGGTTTACTATAGTTTCAGACATTTGCTGCTGATGCTGTTTGCTCATAATGTAAATGCAAAACCTGCTTCATGTTTACCTGTTGTCTTAACAAAGGTGCGTATTGTCATATACACCGCACAATAATTCCTCTTGGTTTAACACTGCCATTGTTTTGGTCAGTGTTCAACTATGACTCTCAGTACGTCCTGCATTGATGTCTCACATTAAAAGCCTTCCAGAATTGCTGAGGTAGAACTGATAGAAGTGACTGTAACTAATTAGCATGTGAAACCATTTCTGTTAAAGAGTGGTGACTCTGAATGTATTGTTGTTTTGCTGAAACTTATCATAGTGATCTTGTTTGCTGTCTCTGATAAATAAACAAAGAGTGTAAATTAAAGATAGAGAGGAAATCCAACAGCTGTAACTATTATTTCAGGCTTTATCAGTACTTGGCTCAACATTTTGTGGGTTGAATTGTATGTGTGTCTGTGCTTATAAGTCTGGGAGTTCATAGGAAGAGATTTATGAAGCCACAAGGCCTGAATAGGGACACTCAATGTCACCCCCTCAATGGGAGAGATGACAGGGATTATAGTAACACCATGAAATGAGAAATGTAGAAAGAAGTGAAAAGTACCAGCAGGAGAATAGAAATTTGAGAGCCAGCTATCTGACCTCTGCTGTACCTCACTGAGTTAAGGCGGTATTTTACTTTCTCCCCAAGGGGGTTAATAGAACACATGTTAAGTAAATGAAAGAGAACCCCTCTTATCACTATTGCTATCAAGACACTTGCTGTCTGTGTGAGATTTGACAGGAGAAAGATAAATTACTAGTGATGGCTCTACAGCACATGGATGGTTGAGGGAAAAGGGACCTTGTTTGCAGCGGCAGCAGCAAGCTTCACTAACTGCCACTGAATGCAAAAGGACATAAATGAGTGGCAACGAGCCAAAAAGAACTAGGGTCTTTATGCCACATCTGTTGCACTTCAGACAGACGTTTTGCTGACTTGCCCTTTTTTGTTCTGGCCACGTGGTCTAGGTGTCAGCTAGATATCATACTTCTTTTTCCCTGTAAAAAAAAAAAATATATATATATATATATACTCACTCAAATTCTGATGTAAGGAAATGAAAGATGGGAAAATGGTTGCTACATGTCAAAGCTACAATAAAGCACCACTTGAGATTAACTTTAAGGTAATCTCTTAAATTGTGATGTCACTGATTATTCATCTTTTGAGTCTGTGATTTATGTCACAACCTCCATGTACATGACTAGCGAGACCTTGACTTTAACAATGAGTAGTGTAAATGTCTGCTTAATCCCCAAACAGATCACTAGTGGCATTGTTAGTGTAATGTTAGTGTAGTGTTAGTTGCTGAATGAGGGGGGGGAAGCCAGCATTCCGCTCAGTTTGTCTTTATCTCCCCTCGCTGACAGCTACAGGATGAGCAGCTGTCAAAACACTGAGAGCAGGAGGACATGAAATGGGAAATGTGTTGCACAAGCAGAAATGTGAGATACACAAAGTGTACTCTCACACATACTTCACACAACACTCATATTCGCATTCATAAATGTACACATGGTACATGGTAATTTAAAGATATTAACCTAATGTGTACTAGATATGACACTAGGTCATGTGACATTTACATAGCAATAGCACATCAGTGTGTGTGTGTGTGTGTGTGTGGTGTGCTTAGGCAGTGGTATTCAAATCCCCTACTTAAGTAAAAGTAGCAGTACCACACTGTAAAAATACAGTACAGTACTCTGTTACAAGTAAAAATCCTGCATTTAAAATGTTACTTACATAAAAGTAGAAAAGTATTAGCATAAAAATAAACTTAAAGTACCACAAGTAAACATGCTCATTATGCAGAATAGCATATGTGTGTCATACTACTGGATTATAGTTACTGATGCATTATTGTGTACATCAAATTTAACATTGCAGCTCATAGTGGAGCTAGTTTTCACTACCTTAAATGATTATATTTTGAAGTACTTTACATACTCCTGGGTAGCCGGTGAATTTTATACTGAGGATCAGTAATTCTTATGATTATACAGTATTTTGTTTTATTAATTTCATTCAAAAAAGTAACTAAAGTTAACCAATAAATGTAGTGAGCACAAAGGACAATGTTTTTCTCTGAAATGTAGTGAATTCGAAGTATGAAGTGTCAGAAAATGAAACCGCAAGTACAGATACCTCAAAACTATACTTAAGTAGACTACCTGAGTAAACGTACTTAGTTACTTTCCGCCTCTGTCCTTAGAAACTAAACTTATATTAGGCTGGGGATCTAATCTTTAGCACATAGCAGTTCACTGTACAACATTTGGGAATGTGCACATGTTGAGTCATACTTGTCGTATACTGTATGACAGATGATAGAACGCAGCATTTACTGTTATTTTCAAGCACCATTTATATTATGACAAGATGATATAATACATTTCAGATTTACAGTACAGTACAGTAGTTCAGTGGCATGAGCACAACGGATGTCTGAGCACCAGACAATAGATCCTTGTCACAATAAAGATGATTGTTAAACATTTTAAGGGTAATTTATTCTCCCTCAGATTTCTAAGAATAGTTTCCTCATGCTTGGAATTTATTTTCATTTCAATCACATATTGCATTCTCCCTTGTCTATTTATATGAAGAGTGATTAGCAAAATAAAAGGCAAACGTATTCTAATATCACAGAGCAGCATCGATGTGCGTCAAAATGTGTAAGAGGGTCAGAATGTTACATTATAAGATTTTGCAAGGAAAATGTAATCAGTTCCATTATGCAAAAACGTTTTAATAATAAGCCTTTCAAAGATGGTTTATGATGTTAACATAATGCTGACATCATCATCATTTGCTCTGTCATCGCCTTCAATCCGATTGTATAGCCTCAGTAAATTTCATGTTGTCTCCACTGTGTATCCTTCCTCCATCTTACCTGGATAGCAACCATAAATATCTATAGTGCCACAACTACAATGTACATACTGTAAAGTTTTTTATTTTTTAATTTGGTTCCCTTTCTTAAATTTTTTGATTGTTTTTGTCCAACTGATATCAATAAAAATTTTGTGGGCTTTTGTGTAGAATATGTTTTCAGAAGAACTTCTTTTACTATTATAAAAATATACCATATCAACATGCACATTCTGTCTTGCTCTCTTCTTGTCTTTCTGCTGCACACATATGCACAATCACAATACCAACATGTAAGTTTCTAAACAGAGGTAAGATACGATCTGTGTTTGTTGCACTGTTGTTAGGTGTGATGATTAGTTTGCCGCTGGTGCTAGCTTGCCTCATGGTCCCAGGTGTGGTTTATAGGAAATACTGTGTAATTGCGGCATGTGATAGCACCACAGAATGAGGCAACCACTTTATCACATCAGAAAAGAAGAATAAGGTGCTAAGTAAATCATTTTCCCCCACTTGTGCACTTGTAGAGAGAATACGTGAGAAAAAAATTTACAATATGAGACCAGTGTTTTTGTATTACATGTTTCTATAAACAATAGATTTTACAAATCTAACAGCATCAGATTTTATAAGAGTTTTCATTGTTCAAAGTCCTCCGCATCAGGGTTTTAGATCAAACATTTCACAGAAATGAATGGATGCATATAATGGCAGGGACTGGTGAACAGTAGAATCTGTACTTGCATGAGCTGCATTCGTTTTACCATGCAGCACAGCTGACCATCTTCTTAAGCGCCTCCTAGTCCAAGGTTTGTGTGGGTGTGCAATAACCACACACGGCTCTTTCTGTTGCATTTTTGCCATGAAACATGCTGTTGCTGTTGTTGTTTACTGATAGTCACAAATATTAAAGAACAATGTATTTTGTATTATATATTAGAAAATCATACATTTACTTTGACTAAAAATATGAACCAACAGCTTTGTCCAGGTCTTTCATTCACATCTCACGGTCTTCCTCAGTAGTTTGCTCATTTTCCAAGGAGTACCTGGGTTATAACTGATTATTAATACACCGATCAGCCTTGACATTACGACCACTGACAGGTGAAGTGAATGACACTGATTATCTCATTACAGTGACACCTGTCAGCATGTGGGGTATATTAGGCAGCAAGTGAACATTCAGTCCTCCAAGTTGATGATGTGATGGAATCAGGAAAAACAGCCAAAGCGTAAGGGTCTGAGTGAATTTGTCAAGGGCCAGACTCTGATGGCCGATGTCTGCGTCAGAGCATCTCCCAAACCGGTTGAAAATGAGAAATACTGTACATTGGTCTCTATGATATTCAGCGTCTATAGAGGTGATGTCACAGCTAGAGTGGGGAAGCTCTTGAATTTGTCTAAGCAATTATCTCTAACCTGTCCTCACAACCACAGCTTTCACTCCTTTAACATATTTATCACTACATGATAGATAAATTCATACTCCTCCTGACACTTTAACTAGAACTGTGAGCTGCAGTGATGTGAGTGCCAATCAACTGCTGTATTAACTCCTGTGTACACAGCAGTATTTTATTGGATTGTTGTTTTTTGTGATGGTGGTGGCATTAATTTATTTATATAGGTTTACTTTATAAATTCTGAGTCAGTGCTTATAAAAAATATGCAGGTGTTCTGGTGTATTAAACTTTACTCATGCTGTATGTGATGAGAGCGATAGAGACTTGTCGTGCACAGCACCAGGTGAAGGCTGCTGTATATAAAAACAGGAGTTGTACCTTTGAAAATACAGGTGCAGTAAACAGTTCTGCTCAGTTGTTTGGAATAGGAGGTTGAGTAAAACTATATACTGACTGACAAAGCGATGAACACCAAGATATCTGTTCAGTACAGTGTGAATCAGTAGCTGCGGATGTCACAGATGATGCACATATATGAGACTGTGCATGTGTGTATGCGAATCATCCAGTGTTTGGTAACTCATCATTATTCTTTCTCTGCACCCTCCTCTCCACCCGTCTTTCTCTCTCCCGCATCTGTCTGCCTCCCACCTAGATGGTTTATAAGCCCTGGCTGTGTTCTCAGTACTTCCAGACCACCCAGATGCACTGCAGCAAGCGGATCCCCTGTGGTCAGTACTGCCTGGAGGTGCAGCAGCGGTGCCCCTTCATCCTGCCCGACAACGATGATCTCATTCACGGAGGCAGCCCCAGTTTTATATGCACAGGTACAAAAACAAATCTTACAATTTTTATATTCTTTTGTTTGTTTTTATCTGCTGTTTCTTCACTTTTAACTTTATTTTACAGATTAGTATCAGTATAGTACATGGAGCTGGTTTATGCAACTTTAATGTTTAACCAGTAGGCACTGAGAAACTGGGCTGGAGTGCTTTGCTTACTAGTTGAGGGATAAAAAAGTGATACTTCTCCAAATCCTAGGATTCAAAATAACAAGTAGTCTCTACTGCCTCTATCCACACTGCCTACTGTAGATCATGCTCTTGGCTTGAGTAATGAACAATGACTGAACACCTAATAAGCATGTAGGGAGTGTGTCTTGCCCAGTGATACTTCCGCAGGACACACAACCGCTGATGGTCACACAGCAAACACTTGTGACTTTACAGTTATAGGATGTTCTGTCTAATCAGCAGACTAACAGGGTGACGCAGCATAACAGCTAACTGGTTGCCAGTTACTCTCAGCACCAAGAATCAGCTGCGCAATGGAGCACTGTGATAGTAGGCCTCATACTCTGTCTGTGCTAAGCAGCATATAGCATTCTGTTGTGTGGTGTGTGATTTCAGTCCTTAAACTAGCTCAGGACACAAAGGCAAGCACACATGCCCATCTGAAATCTAAATAAATCTTAATAGGGCTAGATTTTTGCATCAACATATGCACATGGGTTTAAAGTCATCCATAGTGCCTCTGTGTGAGCAGATGTTCATCCCCAGAACATGACTAACAAAAGGCACACACCACAAAACAATTTGATGCTGCCCTCTTGTGGTCATGTTGAGCATCAGCTTACAATAATGTACAGTAAATATAAAGTACATGGGGTACATATTCATTGGAACTTTTCAAGAGAACTCAACGTGCTGCGACTGAAGAAATAATAACAAAGGAAAAAACACATCTTCACCAGTCTGAAAACGCCCAGTTCACATCCATAAACTCTTGTTTTGTCCAACCAAAAGTTCACAACCTGAAAACATCCAGTTTTCACAGAAGACTATGAAAACTGGTACATTTTAATATTTGATATTTATTGTAATATTTAAGAGGTTAGAACTTGTAATATTTGGCATTTTAACTTCACTAATAATTGAATGATGATTAAAATTTTTGATTACATTCCTGTCCATCAACTTATTAATCAAGTTCCAAATAAAATGTGAAGCTAAGAAACACTGCAAATCAAACAGTTTAAAATGCAAGAGAAGTTTCAAGGGGACATGTAAAACTGTCCTCTATGGAGAACCTGTACACCTCATGGGTCAAAACGGACACAAACTGTTTGAGCTCCTCCCCTCTGGACAGTGCTACAGGTCCGTGTGTGCGAAGACAACCAGGCACAAGGGCAGTTTCTTCCCCCGGGCTGTCACTCTGATGAACACTTGGCCCACAACTGTATGACTGGACAATAACCCCTCAGTGCAATAAGGTGTAGATTGTACATATAGATGCGTTAAATCCAGACTGTGTGTATATATATGTACAGGTCTCTATTCATGGGTACTTTACTCTAATTTGTTTAATCTCTTTTCCTAGTACGCATTCCCTTGCTTGTTGATATGTACGTACACATTGAGAGCCGATGTACCAGAGTCAAATTCTTCGTGTGTCCAACACGCCAGGCCAATAAAGCTGCTTCATTTTGTTTTGGAAAATCAGCAAACAATATTTATTTTAGTTTCCTTTTTTTAATAACCCAAAAAATGGCTTCTTTACTGTTAACCTTTCACTAGTTCCTAGCATTTTCTTCTGGTGTCCCCTAAAAACCTTTTTGGGTTTACTCAGTTTGGGTTTGTTCTCTGTAGCTTGTGGAGTTGTCTGTACTGTCTTTATGCAGGTGTTTTTCCTTTTGTACTGCACAGAGCTTTACTGGCTACACTACTTTTCTGTGACATTCTAATTAGAGAGAACAATTCCTTGAATTCATGTTCAGATTTTGTAATGCTCTCAAAACCATGCTCTTGAAAAAAGAAGAGAAGAACAACACCCCCATACATTCCAACTACGATTTCAGCCTGAGAATGATGAGGTTCACTGGAATTCATTTTCACTAATGTTGGTTTTATTGTCTTTTCTATCTTATGGATTGCAAAGCAGTGCTTGTTGACAAAGCTGAACAAGTAGCATTACTTTTTGTGACAGGAAACAAGCACAGGATTCATAACATCTTTAAGACAATATGTGCACTAACCATTTATATTTCCATCTGCCTCCACCCCCCAAAAACAATCCCAGGGCTGCTGGAGGACTATCCATCAGGTGTGGACCCGGATGCAGAATGCTGTGACGTCCGGTGGGACTTGAAAGTGGACAACCGTTCCCAGGGAACCCTGAAAAGAACTCACCCCCCATGCCAGCATCGTACCTCCCTCAGCTCCTCAGCAGCCTGCAGACTGTGCAACAGCCGGCTCAAACTCTGCCTGCTGGTCCTTGTCCTCCTACACACTGTTGCCAGCCTCACTGCATCCCACAATGCAACAGGACTGGGCCTCCCCGCCATCACGCCTCTGGAGGAGAGCCCTGCCAACGAGGAGTGATAGAGCTTCCAGGAGGAGGTGAGGTTGTTGAGGTGGGGGATTCCCTCACCATGGCAACAGAGGAGGAAAAATACAGCCACAGTTGTGTGAACGGCTGGAGCTGTGTGCCTGTGGACACTCTGCGTTGCTTTCTGGCAAATGGAAAATGTGGGACGCTTTGAGATGAAGGACATAAATCAATCAAAACAAACAGACACACCAAGGGGCTCAGTCAGTCCCTTAGGCAGGAAAAGGGGACAATGCCACAGCCTTTGTTGAGTGGGAAGGTCGGCTTCCTCATGGCTGAATTTCTCTCACTTTAAGCTTTTTTACACTGTGTTCCAATTATCGGTTTCTGTTGCACTGGCTGACTATGAAAAAACATAATCATATTCTCTTTCTAATGTTCATCCTTTGTGTTTGTTTCTCGGCCTCATACAAGAAGAAAATGCGTTCTCTAAATAAGACAGATAATGTGTACAAAAAAAAATGTGCTGCCAGTTTGAGCGCGTGTGTGATGGCTTGTGTTTCAAGATGTACTGAGTGTGTGCGAGCATGTGTGAGTGTGTGTGTGTGCTTGTATGTATGTCTTTACACATGTATGTATGAGACAAGGAGTGTGTGTGTGTTGCTGACATGTACCCTAAAAGTCTACCTAACAGACTGGTGCAGCGATGAGGTTTCTATGGAGGGTCCCCACAGATAGCACTTATTGCTGCCATGATGGTTTGTTGGCCACAATCCCATTAAAACCTATCTGGGTTTTTGAATGTGGTTCTGGTGTCCATAATAAGCTACTTGTTTAATGCAGGTTTATGGTTTCCTCTCACATTGTTTTGTGAGATAATATTCACCTATGAACGGTTTTTACAAGGATCAAACTATTTCTATAACAAGCATCAGTAAAAAGCTAACACCTGGCTGAACATCAGGAAACAAACACTAGTTTGTTTAGTTTTTACACCAAATAAATTGGTTTAGGTAATGTGGCTAAAGTTTAACAAGTTTTTACATACGTTCCTCCAGTGTCACCAACGCTCTAGGTCTCACAGGATATCTGTGTTTCTGCTTGGGTCTTCTTTCAGTTTTGACCTCGCTCCTATCACTATACTGCATTCCCCATGTTTATTACCTCCACAGAGGAGTTTAAGTTTTTACTGGCATTTGTTGGTTTCTTCACAGCATAATTCAAAAAGTAACATTTTTTTAGAGCTAGCATATGGCCCACAGAAGAATCCATTAGATTCCGGTGCTGATCCAGATCATCATCATCTGGGTCCAGGAATTTGTTTAAAGGATTTTTTCACCATTGTGAGATAACTTCAATATTTTTGCTTCTAAATCCAATGCCTAGAACAATTGGACAAAAATTGCATGGTAACATCCACATAAGATCGACCACGCACCAAAGTCTGATCTGGATCCAAGTAATATTCCAGATCTGCTGATTCACAATATTCACGTTAAATGGGCTCATGGAAAACCCGCTGCAGTGAGACAACAAATAATGCTACAGACTTGTAACTAAGATCAAATCTTAGGTGAAACTCTGCTGATTCAGTAGGGTGTCAACAAAGCTGACATACTGTATCTTCAAAAGCTACTGAGCTAAATCATTACGCAATGAAGGAATAGTAGGGCCATTTAGGGTGCGCTTAGTTTTAGTTTTTACACCAAATAAATTGGTTTAGGTAATGTGGCTAAAGTTTAAATTTTTACATACGTCTGATCATCTGACCTCTTGTTTTTCTCAACCCACCCCGCTTTATTTTAACTGTATTACTTGTATGATAACAGTTTACTCAAACAACAAATTATTCATAAGTTGCTACACACCAGAATGATCCTTCAATCTTCAGGCTAATACTATGACAGGGCTGAGCCATTTGATCAAAATAATTTTGCCTCAATTACCACAAATTGACAATAAATCTTTAAAAAGTGTAAAACAACTACACCCCGGATTCTCTAACAAGTTTGCATTTTGGAGTATGTGCTGAGTGATCATGGTTTAGTGGTTGCTAAACTAAAGCATTAGAATTAAGAGAACATGTTGCACACTGCTGTGTTTTGAATGAAGATGAACACAACATGCAGCAGAACCACGTGACTAGAAGCCAAAGAACCCGTAGAAAGCTTTTACTAAACATACTGGCATGAGCAGTCTGGGAATCTTTACACCGGTATTGATTATTTTTTGGTTCATCACCCCTTCACACTAATACTACACCCGGAAAGGACAACAGGAAATGTTTACAATAGATCTTCTGTACTTCAGTTTTAAACAGCCAGCAACTTTCATCATTCACAGGAATGTAACAGATGATGTAGGATGATTTTATCTCACAGAACAAAGCGTGAAACTTAAACTTGTCTTAACCAAAGATTTTATTTCAGGCATTTTTAACCAAAACCCCATTCAGATTCTGGTCGCTTTTCAGCCACATGGGTCAGCAAAGTTAACTGACATTTGACACTGGATCAGTATATTTATCACTGTTGCTCTGGATATAGAAACTTTTTTAAGGTACTATCCAGTGAAAATACTGTCCACAACATAAAAATGATAGTTAATAAAGATCCTCTCCACAGTTTTGGACCTGCTGTGGGTCAGTAATACTGTAAAAATGCAACAGCAGTATGACTAACAAATAACTATATCCCATTGCTACTTCTTGAAAACAAAAGCTCAATTTATCATTTGCCTTTAAACCAAAAGTGTAATTTTAACCCAAGGCCTTTTTATTCCTAGCAAACACACTGACTGGATGTTACCTTTAAGGACTTTTCCTAATTGGTTAAACTATAATTCCAAATTGGTTATGATGAACAAAAAACATATCACTAGAAAAGTTAGTTATTAAAGAAAATTCCGTGTCCCACCAATAACCTTATTATTCATAACCTTTAATCTTACTTCCTGACCACATATTACACAACAAAAATGATTTCTTCAAAATGGTCACTTTGTTTTTGTTGAATCACAGTGTATGACCTGCTCTCATTAACTGCATGTGGAGGCTTTATGCCAGCCTCTTACTGTATGTTGACTGTCCTCAGCACCCCACTCCCTGTAAAAGCACCACATCTGATCCCAAATCAGTTCCTGTAGCATGCCCACTGTCTTGTACTTTTTTCTTCAAAACATCAAACTGTCTCATTGAGTAAAGGGCTTATTAAGATATACAGTGCAAACATTACCATCAGCACACTCGAACACTCCAAGCTGTTAGCAGACAAAAGGTAAAAACTTGGCTCATATTGTTTTATTTAACACCGAGGCATTCCACTGGCTGTTACTGGAGAGCAGGAACAGAAGCAAACTCAGAGAGAGGAGCATGTCATTCTGTGTGTAAGCATTAATGACAAAACCTGATAATCACCTAAGTCAGCTGACACTTGTGTTTATCTTTCAAATATTGACCAGCATATGAACAGAGAGGAATGGTGTGACCTTAAGGGCTGACTTCTTCTTTACTTTGTAGTGTTTATTTTGTGTCTCTTTGATGAACATGACTGTGAGATCAGGTATTCAAAGATAAACAGATGTGGCTGAATGCATTTTTTTTTTCCCCACATTGAATATGTTGGTGATCTAAATGAGATGTCCAATCTAATATCTGATGTCAAGAATTTTAACACACAGCTTATATGAGGATTTAAATATCATCGTTATTCACACCATTGCTGTATACCCAGTATACAGAATGCCCTGCTCTACATTACCATTCCTACCTGCATGAAATACATAACCACTCACTGTCATGCAGCACAGCACACCCGTGCCCATGTTGGATGACCGCATTCAGTGATAGAAAAATGCTGCTATACTGTTGGCCGCCAGTAGATGGAGATATTTTTATTCTTTTATACTGCTACTGCTGCTCAAGACCACACAAAGACTGTCAGATCCACAGGAATCAGGAGCGCTTGGCTCTGAAAGAGAAAGTGATGGACTTGTGGGTAAAAGTGTGTTGCTCTATTGTATGTATGTGTACGTCTGCATACATGCATACACAGGGGGGTGTGTTTGTGTCTGTCACTAAGTACAGTGCATTCTCTGCAGAGCTCATTAGTGTTGCCACAACCTTGGGACCTACAAGACAGATTTGGGAAACCTCTGCTGCCGTTAGACCCACAGGGACCTATTACATTAGTTGTCCCGTTATTCACTGGAGCTCTAAAGCTGCTTGGAGTGTAGGATGAAATCATTTGACAATGTGTAATAACTGAATCACTGCCCCCAAGACCCAAAACAGACTCTGTTTTCCCTGAACGTGTTTAATAAAATATTCCAACTATTTAACTATAAGATGAGGTGAAGGCCAAATTGAATGAAATTGGCAGTGGGTTATGAAACTGGTGCCAAACTAACAAGTCTAATTTATATCTGAAAATGCTTTTCAGTAGGTAACAGAAGGAAAAACAGAGTCTGTCTTAGAAATGTGCCACACTGAAGTCAATACAAATGCATGAAAGGGGTCTCTTTAAGGCAAGGCACCTTTTGTTTATTACACATTGGAAACATACAGCATATATTACACGTTATTCATTTTGCCTATCATGTCAGCAGTCATGCTTCTGATGTAACAACCATCACAAGCCAACTGTTGGACATGTATTCACACAATAAACCTGCATTCAAAAGTCACACAGAGGCCATGTGTGTTATACATGCAGTAACGGTACAGCACTGTGGCTGCATGTTTGTGAATGCTGTTCATATTTGTCTTTCACGCCTCTGCGGACATATTTGCACCACTGGATTTTTTTGTGCAAGATTTCTTCCAAACAATAATAGATTTAGATTTGAATTATGTAAATCTCTGGTTTGAATTTCACTGGTAATGCAGGCATGCACACAACAGTTACTCTGCTGTGATAACTTGATTTTTTTTTTTTTTTATGTGTGTTATGGTTTGTTGATTGTTTGCTGCATTATACTAAAAAGAAATTGTGTAGGGTCCTATACAGTAGATTCAGTCTAGATCGCCCAATAATGGTCTGTAGCAGTCGTAGGGTATGGTCTGTCACATTTTATAACACACCAACCTACAAAAACGTTTTGTGTTTTGTCCCTGCACATATAAACTATGTCCCCGCTGCACCCATCACCACATGGTATGTACACAACTTTCACTCCTTCTCAGCCTCTCTCTGTTTTCACAATAGTTCTGTTCTCTATCCTGTGGATCTATGCAGAAGCTCATTTCTTTTTTTGGTTGTAAATACATTCCCTAGTATGCTGAATAATGTGTCTTTTTGTCTCCGTGTATTTTGAGTTGATGTCATGCTGTTATTTTCTTCTTCTCTGGTTCTTTTTGGATTTTGAGTGTCTGAAATCACTGATGTTAAAAGAGAATGTGGTAAGAATCAACCAACAGACTCGCTCTCAGCTTCACAACCTTATTGTGAAAGGTTGTGGTTCTGCGCGTGTGAAAGCAAGATTTATGATTATAGAAATGGAGGAGGTTCAAAGGCATATAGAAGTATCATTGCAATTATGATCATTATGATTACTATTACACTACCAGTATATTGTAATATTATAGATGCTTTAGTTCAAGTAACTTCTTTAGTTTTTTTACAAACTTTGATGAAATGATTTATAAAACAGTCTCACAAGTCATGACCTTTTCGAAAAGTATGAAAACTACTGCTACAATGATTAAAATTGTGTTCTGATGAAAATAAATACAGACATATAATCTGTTCTTCTGTAGTCTTTTTGTATGATGTGACATTATCCCGGTTAATATAGCACTGAAAACTACAATGTCTCTGCATCCACAAAAAAGAACTAAAGAAATCTGACACATAATCAAATCGACAGCAGGCTTTCAAAAACTGATAAAAGAGTGAACATTTGTATAGTGGTTTAACTGGAGGGCAAAAGAACAGAGAAAGCTTCAAACAGTGGTTAACATGACACATGAATATCAGATTAGGCCAGTTCCACAGCCTCTTTACAAACCATGGTTGATGACAGAAGGTGCATTCATATGACACATTTCCTTCTGATGTTCTGATGCTGGCAGCAGCTCAACAGATTCCTGATGAAGCACTCTGCTGCTGGCCAACAACCACATTCAACAAAGCTAAGGTACAATGTCATCTGCCTGAACACAAGAAAATCTTGAAACAACCTAACTTTTAAAAATCACTCTGTTTTCAGTATAACTTTATATGACATAATTAAATGAGTAAAAATAATTTAGACTGGAAAACATAAACATTTGGATATTTGTTTCTTCAGTCTTGGAACTGGTGTTACTGAGTCCATGATACCTGACTTTATACAGAGATAATGTAATTATCTGAAGCCTCGGAACAAATCCTGACCCGAACTACATCCCTTCCTTTTTCACACTGTTTAAACCACCATACTTCCACTTCTCGTTACCAACTCATCCCCTTT